TCTGTTTTTAAATATTCAGATCTTTTTTTATCTCCCTCCTCACTCACTTCACGTAATGCTACAGGTTGCCATGACAAGAGAGAAGTTCCCTGAGAAGATTCCATTCCGACTGACGAGAATGCTCATCAATGCCATGGAGGTAGCATGTTCTGTCAATCAGGCACAATGCTTCACGGAAATAAGAATTTCCGGCTGAAATGTTTCTTTCTAGCTAGAAATTACAGTCAAGAATCCTGATGTTTGACAAGAAAACACAAGTGGAAAATTTCCTTGAAAGTTCCAAATCTTCACCAAAAAAATTATGCCGTCACAGAAATCTGTGCCAGAACCTTTGTGATCACTGAAAGACTCATCGAGGCTACTTCATTGTACTAATCAACATATTTCTTAACTACCCTCCCCTTCAGAACGTAACAAAAAATAAGCTTTTGCTCAGTTTTACAGCCCAAGCATTAACCATGTTAAAAGAATCTAAGTACGAATCAAGGACATGTTTGTCTTGGGGTTTTCCCCCATTCAAGGTGACGGGCATTGACGGTAATTACCGCATCACTTGCTCCAGCCTGATGCAAGTACTCAGAGAGCACAAGGACAGCATCATGGCCGTGCTGGAAGCCTTCGTCTACGATCCACTGCTGAATTGGAGGCTGATGGACAGTAAGAATGATAGGACCCGGGGGAGGGGAGGGAGGAACAGACAGAATGAGTGACAAACAGATTGACTGGCACACGACAGTGTCACAGCTGTCCTGGAAGCCTTTGTCTACGATCCACTGCTGAACTGGAGGTTGATGGACAGTACGGATGATGGGACCCAGGGGAGGGGAGGGACAAACTGACAGATAGTTTGACAGAATGAGTGACAAACAGATGGACTGGCACACAGGGACAGCGTCACAGCTGTCCAAGAAGCCTTCATCTTTGATCCATTGCTGAACTGGAGGCTGATGGCCTGTTAATAGATAAAAGTCTCTGCGTAAGAAAGGGACAAACAGACAGATAGACCAAACAGCCAGACGGTATGACAAACACAGTGATTTACATATACATGTAGATAGATTTGGGTAAGGAAATTATTCCTCGCACTCCAAATCGGTTTGAGGGAAGCTGAAATCAATCTTTTAAAATGTAATATTTCTCAGGACTTAAGGAAATAGAAGAGATAAACATAATCACCGCGGTGGATGACAGATACAGGAAAAATATAATCGATGACTTGCGGTGTCGTGTTGCTGGTAGCGATGTTTCGGCTGCTGGTGCTGCGATGAAGGCTAGCAGCACCAGCAGCCAAAACGTCGCTACCAGCAACACGACACCGCGAGTCATCGATTATATTTTTCCTGTATCTGACTTAAGGAAATGTTACAAGATACCATAAAGATGCCGATTGAAAATTACTTTTTGGAAGGTGGCGTCAGAAAATTATGGAAAAAAAATCCCTAAAAGCATCATAAATGTTGTCATGACCAGCCCAGTCACAGGAAAGAATTTCTTGGGATGATGGCTTGATGTAAGCTGCAGTCAACTAACTGAAGATGGGTGTCTCCTTCAGAATGCATACTATAAAAATGTTTCTAAGGCCGTGGCCGAAAGGGGCTTCTAGAGCTACGGCTAGGGCTATTGTCTACGCGTTTCCATACATTTCCAATGGAGCTAAGACCTAGACGTAGCCCTAGACAACAGATTCGGATGCAGCCTAAGGATCAACTGATCACAAGTGGCACCTGTCCAAGATGGGCTTCTTGACACTGCGCAGGTAAACGTAAAGTTCCACATTATCAGATTTGTTTAACCTCTCTGCAGCCGCTCCTAAGGCCAAACGCTCCAAGGCCCGATCAGACTCCTTCTCCAGCAGTCAGAATAACGCAGGTGAGAATTTGCTGCCGTGCAAATTTGTCGTCAGCTACATTTTTTCATTTACCATGTCTCTGCCTTTTTCCACTGCTGTGTTCCTCAAACCACTTTCTCATACCTCCAAAGACTTTTTTTTTCCTCAGAACATTTTTTTCTCACAGTAAATTCAGCTGTGCATAGTGGCATGTATCTCGTCGATTACACGCACGTTTCACTAGATCCTTTCAACCGAGATTACAGCGAGTAGCAACAGTGGGGTAGCTGGGATTTTACTAGTGGGTGCGGGGGGCACAGAGAGGGCACCAGCATCTTATGGGGGGGGCACCAGCTTTCAGTGGTGTGGTTTCTTGGGGCAGCTTTGTTCAACTTATCCTTTTTTTTTAGTGGGGGGGCACCAGGAATTTGTGGGGGAACACGTGCCCCCAGGACCCCCCGTGGCTGCGCCACTGAGCAACAATGATTAACATGCGGGGGGGGGGGAGTTTGGGAAGAGAGGGGAGGGACTGATGATGGACGTGTAAGCGTAACTTCAGCACCGCATTGCACCTCGCTGGGTTCCAACTGAGGGAGGAAAGATTGACGAACAAACTCATCTTAGAGATGAGATGTGAAAACGAGACGCAGCAAGAAGCTACAGTCTAATTCAGCAACCCCGGGGCACGTTTGAGCAAGGAACATTCGTCAGCCAATGGTTAAATTCACCCGGTATCCAGGATATAGTCTGTACACAGGTTACCGGGAGAAAATGACTCGTGGTCAACAAGTGGTCTGCACTCAAACTTCCCTCATGAAGCTGTGATTTGCTGAAATTTAGTCACCCCTAAAGTTTAAGATGTGCACCGTGCACACAAGTTCAACGCCACTGCAGTACAAGCACGTGCAATTGTCTTTTGGAATTTACATTTTTCCCGCAGTTGGAACCCAGACTTTTTTTTTTTCACTAGTTGCATCCATTCTCCATGAGTGCTTTTTTTTTTTCTTTTTTTCGGTTCCCTCCTCCCAATCCACTCATCCAGATCTGCTCGATGATGTGAATATTGACACGCCCAAACAGAAGAAGGCGGGGGAGGCCGGGTCGTTGCAATCATCGGGTAAGGTCAAAGGTCAAGTCGTTTCAACACTGCTACGGACCAAAAGTTGGATTTTTTTTTAACCAATTTATCTTTCCACTAAATCAATTGCAGTCAGCCACAAGAGTTATACCATCATTTTTATGCAGGAATGATTTTTTTGAAAAACCAAAATTAAATAAGAACAGACAATTCGAGCATGTATGAAGTGAATCTTGTTTAGTTGTGCGTAGTTTTGAGGAGCAGTTAACTGAAATAGTGTGGAAGTGTGCCCCATTCGTCTTCAGAAGACAAACGGGAAAAAAATCAATCTTTTTTTTTCTTAGTCTCCATCTTCAACGCTTTACACCTCATGCATGCGTAGAATCCATGCTCATTTCAAACTGCGACAAAAAGGTGCCTCTTTCATGCGTGGGAAAAAAAAATCTCCGCAAAATTCATGGATAGGTGCTGGACTGACTTTGCCAAATGCTCCAAGAAAGACACTTGCCTGTAACGGTCCCAGAAAGTAGTGTGCAGGATTTTAAATGCGATGTGAAGGCATTTCCCAAATGATTTGGCCAATATTTCAGGAAGGCAGCTTGCTGGTCAACTTCATAAGCTGCGTCTAAGCCGTGGCTAGGATTCACTCATGTCTATGGAAAGTGACAGAAGCCACCAGGCATCGGCGTCCATAGGCAAACGTGTTATTTGAAGCCGTAGCCACATTTTTTAGACACAGCCTTTCTGACAAGCTAGCAGCCCTCGTGCAGACTTCCTGGTTTCCTGCTTATTCCAAAATCCATCACTTTTCAGTAAATTCCAGGGGTGTGAGTGGCCACTTTAAGTTAACGCTGAAAACAGCTAGCAAAAAACTGAAATGTAAAAAAATCCCATACATTTGTACAGAAGCTTAAATTCAGGGTCAACATCTAACCAAAAAAGGCTAAAATCAGCTAAAAAGCTGAATTTTCACACCCTTGAAATTCAGTTGTGCTTGTCCAATGTGTTGCATGACTTCTTGAGGTCTGCCGCCAGTTCTCTAATTTACCGGTATATGAACCTCTCTCCATTTTGCAGAGAGCGAGGGCGCTGTTCAACCCGAGGCTCTCAACAAGAAAGCCATCAGCATCATCAACAGAGTCAGGGACAAGCTCACCGGTCAGTTGCACCAAGCAAACTTTCAACCCAGTCTCAAAGTCATGCCCTGTGTTGCATAATTGTTAAGTATGGCCCATTTGCAGACCTAGATTAGGATGTGCAAGACTTGAACCTCGACTACATTTCACACTAGGCCATGGCAGACCGAGGGGAGGAAGGGAGTGCCTAGCCATTTTAATCTGGAGTCATTCTGTTTCAAGTCATTTGACTAGCTGTTCCTGTGAACTGCAACAAACTGGTCCTTACAAATCCTTTGTTACTTGTGACACAACTGTGACTTGTTATGTTAATGGCTTACTGTGATTTACCTCCCACCCACGACCCCTCCCCCAAAAGGGGAACACAGACAGAACAGCAGCCAATCCATATTTTCAATAACTAAAACTTGAATGCATTTCACGAAGGCCTGTTGTGAACGGCGCCACCCAGCGTTCAATGGTGTCCAGCCCATCCACACCACACGTTGAATTTCCCACATGGGGGTTGCCGGTGCTATATGGTATTTTGTTCTCCGGTTTACTGCACAGGGAATGACTTTGCTCAGAAGGACGCTGTGGACGTTGCCAAGCAGGTGGAACTGCTGATCCAGCAGGCCACGTCCCACGAAAACCTGTGCCAGTGCTACATAGGATGGTGAGTGGTCCTTGGTGTCCTATGAAATTCAGACTCGTGTGAAATATGGACTCTGCCCTTCACAGGTGGCAAGTGTTCTGGGCATGTGTAGTGTAGTCAGTGAGTCCATATTTCATGGTGAGCACGTTTCTCACCACACCTGTGCTATGGGTTAGGTCAGACAACTAGGAAGTCCAGAATCCAGTAGCGGAGAATCTATATGGTTGACTTTACAGCTTTCCAGTGTGACTACACTATTTGACGTAAGATATCCATTTATGCCCCAATTTTACAAGTTTCGATAAGGCAGGTGGATGCTTCTGGAGCAGAAGATTGAGCTTTAGAAGCTTCCAAAGCCTTCCAGGGCACTAAATGGTTTCACATGCAAAAATATCATGGCATGCGCACTGGGGGAAGATGAAGACCAACTCAGTGTACACGGGATCCATTTTGTGTCCAGGTATCAGGACAATCAATGGCTGTTGCGAAGTATCTCTGACACGGACAATCTTCCCCGTCTCCACCATACTGGCCTCATTTTGTTAGGTGCACAGGTTATCGGGGCGGGTGTCAATTTGAACTCGTCATCCGACTCCAGCGTAATGGGGAATCGTTCTTTTTTGGCACTGCACAGTAGCTTAACATTTCTGCAGATTACACCCATGCAAAGTCCTTTTTAAGAAACTTTTTGCTACAGAGGCTTTGCGTGGGAGCCAACTTGCAGGGCACTTCTTTTGTTCCACAGGAAACCTCCTTTGTGCATACCCTGTGCAACAAAAGCACTGGCCTGCAAGATGGCAGCCATGCAAACCCTCTGTTCAAATATGACATTACAATGTACCATTGTTTTGTCGTTTCAATTGCAGGTGCCCCTTCTGGTAAGGCCGTTTTACCTTCAACAAGTACAACAGAATCGTGGATATGTGAGAGATGTTTCACCACCAAAGGAAGAAAGCTTGTTTACGTAGAGGTAGTGGAAATCGTAGTACATGAATGTAAATTTGAAATGCTGTATGAGGGAAAATGAAGGAATTCTGAGAAATTTTTCCAAAACCATTTCTACATGTCAAAGAGTTCACAAAAATGGAAATTTCACGTGGGACCAATTTTTTTTGCACCGAAATGGTGATTTCTAGGCCCCAGCTAGCTTAGATAATTGAACGCAAATATGACATAAGAGATTGCTTGAAAACAATATCGTCAAACTTTGCTACAAGTTTTAGAAGTTCTCAAAAGAAGTCATGTGAAAAGGAAATGAAATTCCTAAAACATGATTGGTTGATTTATTCCAGTAGTCCCGGCCAAAATCCCCTTCAGATTTTCGGGCCTGTTTATCTTCATTCTCGCTTGCTTAATACTTTAAGAGAACTGGATCAAATGAAATGCCAAAATTGGAAGTTTTGCCGGCTGTGAAAATCAGTCACTGCTTTGTCGGCGGAAATATCTGTTGGAAAGAACATGTGTAGATCTTGTGATCAGTACTGAACCATTTTGGTGATGGATTCAATATCACACTTTCCTTCTGCTATTCTTTTCATACAAATGAAAGTGAACGCGCAAACCTGAGAAGAGTTACCTCACAAAAAGATGGGATTGTTTTGTGACGTTATGAAAGTCCCCGTCTATCCTTTACAATGAAACGTCGGGAAAATAAAAACATTTGCCAATCTCAGGTTTACCAACACTCACCAATAGGACTTTTGCATCAAAACTTGTTTTCACCAATCATAAATTTAATTGTAACCATTTTAAAACCAAGAAACAACCAGTGGATCACTTCAGTACAGTGTGTACTCAGAAATAAACAGCCCCATAATCAATATATAATGTAATCAATAACCAATTCCATAATCAATTGGAATCCAATTGGGTTCACTTGGAATCCAATTGGGTTCAATTGGTTTGAATAATAAATTCGGACCTTTTGGACCAGTTGGACCATTTGAAAGCCAATTCACAATGCAATTGTAACCAACTCATTTGAAAATCCATTTGATGGGGGGGAAACAAGCTAAAAGCAAACCATTTGATTCCAATTTGAAATTCCAATTGATTGGGGAAAATAAATAGCAAAGAAAAAAATGCCAGTTCAAATTAATTGCGCTCCAATTAAATCCAATTTAAATATTAATTGGTTTGAAAAGGCCATTTGTAGTAGGGAGAATAGTCAGAACCTGCCACAAAACACATCACATGGATGAATCAACCAGTAATGAGAGGCTATATACTTAAGCAGACTTTCACAATTAATATTTTTTCATGATGCACCCACTAATTACGTATATTTATATCAAAGTTGGGAAGTTGTGCTGAATATTTAATTTATTCCGTGGGTGGTACATGTATTTATAATGGATTGGAAATAAAGCCCAAGAGGAAACCTGTACAATTGGATGTGGCAGGTGCACGTGCTATAAAGGAATTCACAGCGTAGATCTGCATGCACCAGTGCATCTTGTTCCTAGGTCACTTGTTTACCACAAGCATATTACGAGTTTAACTGACAGAAAATTTCTCTCAAAGCAGTGACGAAAATTAGGCCAGATGTTGTATCTCACTTCTGAACGTAAGGCACTGAATTTTATCTATCAACCAAAACTTGACGCAACGCTTGAGATTGTGCTTCATTCTACAGGCAAGGGCCTATTTACACAGACAAGCAGTAACATTTCGGAGAATTTCCCCGAGTGCTAAAAATACCAAACGCGGTGGTTTCCAATGGGCTGTTTCCCCCCCCGAGAGATGAAAGCCTTGCCATGAGGTAGGACAATCAATACCTGTTTTTAAGAAACCTGAGCGATTTTTACCCAAGATGCCGTGCTGAGACTGCACATTCAGACCAATCAGCAATCTCCTTGAGCACGGCACCACAGACTGGCCGCGAGGCTGAGGGAGAGCAGGCTTTGATTTCTCTCATGGGGTGCCATCGTTGCCGTGGAAAGGCATTGGCAGGACAATCTGCATGCCGAACTGGTTTCTGTCTCGCTGGGAATGTACAGTACAAATCCAGCAAGGCATATCGCCTTCCATCAACGCTTCCCATTACTCCCAAGTCTGTGTAAATGACTTCCCCTTATTTCAGTAATGCTGTCTGGCGCAGAAAGTGCTAAAAGACAGGAAGTACTTGCTCTAATGGCTAAAAAGAAAAACTTTTTTCTGGTGTTGATTTCTGCTTGGCACACACCTACGTTTTTTAATTTGAGTTTTATCTACAAAGGACCCCAAAAGGAGCTCCATTTGTTTTGAAGCAATGGAGTTGCAGTTGTGCGTGGTGTCTTGAACCCGAGAGTAACATGGGCCTCTGGAGGCCATCGGCTGCTGCCAATTCCCATTGACGCCCACGTTACCTCCTAGCTGTCGCCACTTGATTCTGACACACACCGACTTCTGGCCTGTGTTCCAAGCATTGGTCTTACGCTGCCTCCTCTGCTCACGGCGCTGAGCATTTTTAATGCAAAGTTTAACCGCATTAAAACAAAAACAATATCTTGTGTACATGTTCTTCTGGTTACGATATCTATAAGCTGAAATGGTTTGCACACTCCTCTGTGACCAATGGTTCTTTCTGATTTTTTTTTTTTTTAAATGTTTACAGAGAAATGTAATAAACTAACTTTTGAATCTGGCAAGCTTTGTAGCGTTGTGTGATCCTTCAAACAACACTGGACTCTCCATGACGAGTTGACGATTTTTTTTCAATGATTGTGCTCCTTGATCATGCTCCAAATTTCATGGCGCTGCTAAGCAAATCATTTTACGTCAACAGAGGCAGTAAGCACAGCAAAAAAACGTGCTAAGATTGGAGGAAAAGTACGTAATGCAGTGGACAAACAATAGAAATCTCTATCCGCACACTACCACGCCAAGTACCGCCATGAAACAGTGCTTTTAAGATCACCAAATTTTTCTGCTACAGTAACCACGACTTTCCGGCTATTGTATAGCAGTTCCCATTAGCCTTTTAGAAGTACGGCTGACACACTAAGAGGGCGCTATTTGAAGTGGGTAAATTTGGAGCAAACAAAAGATTTGACCCAAACTAAATAGCGCCCTCCTATTGTGTCTGCCATGCTTCTAAAAGGCCAATGAACTAAGCCTTTTGCTAGTTAACTTTGACCCAAATCTGGTACACTGAGTAATGCACGTGAACATAACAACTTGAATTCTCCTTACTAAAACCACTGTTGCTATACCTCGTGATTCGGGGCAAGCTTTTGCTTAGTGACGTAAAAAGACGCCTTGCAACAATACACTATTCTCAATGGATAAGGAGGCACGAAGGAACCAGTCCATTCCAGAGATGGTGGTTGCTATGCAAAAGCTTGCCCCGAATCAGGAGATATAGCAACAGCGTCTTCAGTCTGGGGAATTCAAATTGTTATGTTTATGTGCAGTCAGAGAACTCAGTGTACCAGATTTTATTCAAACTTGGGCCCGCATTCTGCAGCTACTAATATCAGATTTTATCCCATACACAAATCTCCATTAGGAATTCTTCCCAGTCTAGTTTTTCCAGAACTGGTCAAAATGCCCCCCTCCCAAGTCAATCTATATGCAGCATATTATAACCCTAAACGTTTAAACTTGATACCACATACCTGCATTGTAAATGCCATGAACACCTGTCATTATTACACTTAACGGGATTTCTGACAATGACGTGTAGTCTTAATTTGCACAGTGCGCTATTTTTACACTTTTATTGTGCAGGAGCACATAAAGAAACACCTGTTCTTTCTTGTACAGACAGCTGTGTGCATAAAAAGAACTGGAATTTGTGGTCTTGGTGTTTTTTTTGTTTTGTTTTTTTCATTTTCTGAGGCAACTGCTCTGGGGCAACTGTCAACCTTTTCTCGGTCACACCATGCCGAGTCAAAAAGAGGAAGATGGCGACCTACATGGACTCTTCAAGAAGTAAATAAAGTCCCAGGAAGCGCAGAGCTATCCCTTCGACAAAGAAGTCTGTGAGGGTATGCAGAGCCACACCCATACCCGCCATCCTCCCAACACAAGTTAGCACTCCAAAGATTCCAATTACGCCACAGTTTTGTTTTTTTTTTTTTTAAGATTTAAGATGCAGCTGTTCTGAACAAATTAAAATACCCAATCCGAGGCACGATACACTTTCATATCCACTTAAAAACCACGTTACCATTTTTAGTGTATTTTAGCAATAGCGTTAACCTACTCTTACGAGTTTCCTGCTGTGGCTTCTTTAGGCCCTTTGGGTGCTTCCCTCTCGCCGTTCACTCCCTGCTCGGGTATTACTTCTTCGTCTTCTAAGCTCTGGATGGAGACAAAGAAAGGCGAACAGCTGTGAGTGAAGCCTCAAACTTCTGAAGCTGGAAAACAAGGATCTGTGCAAGGTCTCAAGTCGGCACGATTCGTGCGGAGCAAGCTTACCTGTCGCGCAAATTCCGGCAGGATGAACGCCGCTCTGTGAATGGCGGCATTGTAGTACTTCAGCTTCAGTTCCTTCTTCTGGCCTTTACTCCATTGTCGCACCGGCTCCCGGAAGTTGGTGTCCTAAATTTTAAAGGCAATGGTGCCAAAAAAAATCGGCTTCGCAAATGAAATATGCAGTCTGGCAAGATCAGGTACCAATCCACAACTTTGGTGAAAGACATCCGTAAGCTCTTTCCCAAAGATCTTTCAGAAACCAACAGGAAGGTCAAAACCAGCCAATTTAAATTCACATGGGGCTCAGCAATTTGGGGGTTTTCAAATACAATGAATGGTCCACTTCCTGGAGGGTAATTCAACTTATGAAAGCAAATTTCATACAATTAAGGGCATTCAACTGCACCATAGCCCAGCCGAAGGTATATAAAGGCAGCCAAGTGACCCAACATCTGCCCACGGATCACAGCCAGAGATCGCGAAGTGTTGACTTCCGCTGAGTGACGAAAATTGGATAAGCCGTAGAAAACCCTCAATGCACGGACGGGTACCAACAAACCACTCTACTCACACGTGGCCCAGGCCGGGATTGGAACCCTGGGACCATAGTGGTGCAAGGCAGGTGTTTTTAAACTCACCAGTCGTACATGCCACCCGGGGGGGGGATGGAGGGTTTTGGGCGGGGTCCAGGGCTGTTTCCAAGAAAAATTGCTTGGAATGTGAGCAAACCCGAACAAACTGTGAATTCATGGCATCTGCCTTTAATAACTTGAAAGCATTTTATAATCCCTTTCACGCCAATTAACTTTCTCACCCCCCTCAATACTTACAGGACTGACACCGCATAAGGTGAAGCCAATCTGACCACTGGGATAGGTAGGAATGGTACAGTAGGCGTAGTCAATGACCGGGTAAAGTGTCCTGCAGAATTCTCGCATGCTCTTGATGAGATCCAGATGCAGCCACAAACACTCCCCTGCATAGGCCAACATTTTTCTACAGTTCAATTTCGCAATTGTAGAGACGAGCCGACCTACCACAGTTACTCCAGTCGACCCTGCGACTCAACCGATTTGAGAGACAACTTTTGCCCGCTCGACTTGAGTCACGACTGGCGAGCCACGACTGGCGAGCGACTCGAATTGAGTTACTGCGGGCAAATGACTTGGCACGACTCAAGCTCACGCTGTGACCCGACTCGTTGCCTTCAAATCAATCGACTCCTTCGCGCGAGTGGCCGGAATGGAGCCTATGATCTGGTAAAACCCCATGATTTGGTGATTTGGTGTAATTACACAGTAGCACACGAGGGACATTGGGCCCATTTTCTTCAACTTACCTTGCGTGCACACAACGCCACCGGGTCTCAGCGCCTTCTTCATGAGTTCGTAGTATGACTTCTCAAACAAAGCTGCTGCAGGACCTGTTCACATTAAAAAAAAAAAACCAAAACCCAAAGTTAGAGCTGCTCATAAACTGACAAATGGATACAAACTAGTGAAGGACAGCATTTGTCTTACATGTGTAGAACAAGCGGACAAGTTTAAGAAAAGATGAGCCTGCGAGTCATAAAAGTCAATTTATGACTGGGGTACACGGTCATTGGACTAACTCCTATCTTGCATATACTAGTCGGGACTATTCTAGTCAGCTAAACGGATCCTGCCTACAGAAGTAGGTCGCATTGCTGGTTATTAACGGCCATGCATAGCAAGGACTCGTAGTACATGTACACCAATGATCAATGACCCTTGCTTGACCAACCTTGCCTGTAGAGGTGCCCTCTCACGTGCCCCCTCCCCCCGTGGATAGGCCAAACAGCGCCCTCAACTGTGCCTGTGCAGAACCAATGAGCCCTGCCCCCCCTTGGACACCCAACTTCACCTCAAGCAGCGTCCCAAAAAACTGGGGCTTCGAGGGCTGTAAGACTATGTCTGTTGTCAACTTTGCAACCGGCAAAGCCCTAGCCTCAGATGCGTGATTTGCAATGCAGCCGTACCTATCGGGTCCGAGGAGTCGGTGATGATGACGTCAAACTCGTTGCAGTGCTGCTCCATGAAGGCGAAGCCGTCGCCTATATGCTGGGTTAGCTTGGGGCTCTGGAACCCGCTGGACATGTAGGGCAGGTATTTCTTGCTAACTTCGATCACTTTCTGCAAGTCAGTGCAAACAAGCTTGCCAATCAACAGAGTTGGAAGACTATCCATTATAATACAGCTTGGACCCACTGTGACCACAGATGGGAAACGCTTGAGATTCACTCCTTCAAACCCTTCAATTTCAATTAATTAATAGTGAAGAAACAAACCTATTAAAAGTGGTCAGAATTATCCGAGGACCACACACAGGGTTATTTTGTTTTGTTTCATGTTGTTTTCATTTCAGAGTGAGCTGGGTTGAGACCACAGTATTGATCTATTGATCTGCACTGAAAAAGAAATTTTAACAAATAAGACGACCCTTCACCCCACACAGCTAATACAGGAAACCAACAGCAAATTCAGAAACAAAATCGTGAAGAAATTTCACGCTGCTCCAAACGTCCTGTCTTTTTCAACGTGTAATGGTATCAACAAAGAATGGCAAAACATGAGGTCTCCCCCCCCCTTTACCTCATCAATCTCGCACTGCGTGACGCTCTCCACCTCTGGGTGTTTGACGACCTCTCGGATGACCCCACCATCCCCACCCCCGATGACCAACACCTGCCCCCCAAAAAAACAAGAATTTTGAAACTAAGGAAAACCGTGAGCAATACAATACAATGTTACATGTAATTAGACGGACCTCTTTGTGCCCCAATGGGCAGTCCATGTGTTAAACAGAATGCCTAATTGGGTTCCCCCCCCACCTTCCCCTGTCAACAAAAAAAGGTGGGGGCATTTGGCCACTCAGTGAGTGAGAGTACATACTCTCCATTCCAAAATATATGTACATGTTACAAGTATTAGAGTCTGTCAACTTTACAATGAAATCATTTCACTTTTTTAACGATTGAAAGCTTATCAAATCACAGGCTTGTTTTCCAAATTATGAACTCTCCTTGAACGAGTACATGTAATGCTCTTCAGCGCAGACATCATGAAAGGGATTACGTGTATGGCTAATTTTTATAATTTCTCTTTGAGCCAAGGTGTTGTTCCAAGTGCTTAGAAAACTGCCAATGTAGCTCCCATTCATAAACATTCCGATAGGAGCGACATTGGCAATTATTGCCCCACTGCCCTCACTTCAGTGTTTTCGAAAGTTGATCGAAAGTATTGTATCTGGCAATATTCGTTCTCACTTGGAAACGAATGGATTAACCCTAACACTCCTCAGTCCTCCAACAGGTGAAGGATTGAGGAGTGTTAGGGTTAATGTTTGAGCTCCAGCGTGGTTATAGGCCAGGCCGTTCTTGTGCAACACTTCTTGATGACACAATAACGGAGTGGTCTAACACACTGGATCAAGCCAAATCTTGCGTGCATGTTGTATCTCTGGATGTCAGCAAAGAGTTGACTGTATTTCGCATAAGATTCTTATTAACAAACTCAAGAATACGTACGGGATTTGTGATCCCTTTACTCGGTTGGATTAATTCTTTCCTTGTTGGGAGAAAGCAAAGAGTTGTTTTCCGTGGTGCTGAATCTGTCCGGTCTAATGTTACATCTGGAGCTCCACAGGGGCCTGTCTTTGCCCCTACTTTTCAACATTTATCTAAATGACTTACATCTGTCAAATCCCCCTCGGCACTATGCAGATGACACTTTTTTTAAACAGGCAGATTCAAGGGGAAAATGATTTGATGTCTCTCCAGACAGATCTGGATGGCCATTTCGCACATCCTTTGAGCACCTTCCCTAGTGACTTGGCTGATAATCTGATATGCGCCCCTCTCCGTCAGTTTTTGAGTGAGCTGAAGGACCACTTTGCTGGCTAGGCTTGTTTTTAACCCATCGCCGTATTTTTATCTTAATTATGATTATTTTTGTTGTACTCTTTCTAGCCTTACTTTTCTATTTGAGTCTCGGGAGACATACGCCTTTTGGCGACAGTTTATTTTTAAACTTTTATGTTCTCCTGGGCGGCCCGCTGTGTCTAGTGATTGTCTAGTTGCATGTTCAATTGCCCCAATAAATATCATTACTATATTAATATCATTATTTTTGTATGCAATCATGCCATGTCAAATTTTAGTCACAATTTCAAGTACTCTCATGCACATGTAAATGTCAGAGACTTTAAAGGCCTTGAGTTTTTCTGTCTGAAGATTCTACGTCAGGACTTTTCTTCTGATTTAACATTCCAATGGGTTTATAATGGCATTCGTTGATATATTGCCAATTCGATCTTCTTTATGGGACACTGGTGTATACTATCTTTTTCCACGAATGCAGTGATATGGTGCCACTTTCCATCCCAACAACGGATCAGTGAACGAAGTACCGGTGCACCGAAGTACCGGTGCACTGAAAAACATACATGAATTCTACTTGGAAATACAAGCAACATACTTGGATCCGTAAACGTGCCCTGCACCCCCAGGCCTCTGCCTATTTTATGCACCGGATTAGCCCAGTTGCTTGTTGAGGTTTAGGAACCAGGAATGGGGCAGATTTTCCACCATTACTCTCCATCATTCTCCTCTTTACAGTACAAGTAACTGTCAACGTCAAAAACAACCTACCTTCTTTGGGCTAGGATGGGAGTTGAGAGGCAGGTGAGAGATCATCTCCTGGTAGCTGAATTCATCCCGCTCCGTACACTGAATGACGCCGTCCAGGACGAGCACATTGCCATAATTCTCACTGTCGGTACAAAGAGGAAAAATACATGTGTACAAAAGGGAGGCTGATGGTGTTGGGCTTGACAGATTTTGCCAGAGAGCAATGGATAGCAATGTGCACGTATGTGTTCTAAATATAATGTACAAATCCACACGTCAGATTTGTGCTGGGGAGGCAAAAAAATTGGACGTCAAATTTGCAGGGGGATTTCCATTCTCGGCACGATTGGTGGATCTGTGTTTACTGCAACATCTTGGCATGTTATCCATTGCTCTTGGACAAAATCAGTCAAGCCCAACACCCATCAGTCAATCACCTTTTTCTTTTCAAATTAACGATGGAGGACAACCGCTTTGGAAAGGGGGCATTTATGCCAGAGAGGTGGGTCACTGTATACTTAGAGTCCGTTTCTTTTTTATAAATTGGAAGTCCTTTTTTTCTTTGACAAACATTTCTCTAGCCATTTTTCCGGCTTGTTCTTCGATTTCTTGGTTGTTTTTATCCCTTTGGAGTTTGTCAATACTCGCGATCTAATTTTTTCTTTGAGTTTGTTAAATTTTCGGAGCTCGGAGTTAATCAACACAAATTCTTCCAGAGAAATATCACCATCGTTAATAACCTGAGATATACATGTACATATATATTCGTCGATCATGTTTAGTTTAGCGTTGGCCAATGCTCTGATTTGGTCGTGTTTTTTGGACTTGTTCAGCAATCATTTACTTGCATATTTTAAACATACCAAACGCACCTAGGGTGAAACCTTCCCTCAATACACCCAGACTCCCACAGGCACCGACACCCCACCCAACATGGTGGGTATGCCTATAGCTGCCAACGCAACACTCAACGTTTCAACTCCATATTCCACGTAGCCAACTGCTATGCTCTTCTTTTGTGGTTTCACTAACGCAGGAATAAAACAAGTTTAAAAGACCCCCATAAAACCTTATGGGGTCTTTCTTATGCTTTATATCAAATGGGGTCTTTTAATCTTTTTTCATTCAACCAACCAATCACCAATGTGCCCACGCCTGAAAACAACTGTTAAGCTACACATGCTCAGCCAACCAACCAACCACCTTGACCGCAACGGTTTAATAACCAACTTAGTGAGATTTTTTAGTATGGCGGATAGTTCTTGTCTTTCTCAGTCACTTGCAGCTTCAGTAAACTCATTTTTGATTTGGTTAATTTTGTCGTCTACTTCTCTCAGGTTTGCCAAGTTTAATAATAATTCAGTTTTTTTCACCTCTGAAGGTTCTACAAGTTGTCGGTCAAAACCCATGAGTTCTCTGATATTTAACTCTCCGATTTCAGTTTGCATCTCTTCGTCTTGGGCAAGGTCTTCTAAAGTTTTGCTAACTTGATTGGTTGCTTGGGGATGTTCTTGTAATGGGATACTTTCGACTTGTAGTTGCCCAAGTCTATCGCCGTTTTTACCTGTCGTGTAATCTTTCAAACTAAGAGTAAGTCTTATGAAATCTGTGTTTGTTTTACCCTGAATCGTTCTTAAATTAAGAAATAGACTTCTGTCATTTTTATGAGTTTAATCAGCTTATTTTCCATTGAACACAGAGTTTATCTTTATTATCAAGTTGCAAAATATTTGGGTCTCTAATTGTTGGCTCCTATCCTGTTAAGCCGTTTCTTGTTTAATTGTGTCGTAAAAGTCATTCATTTTATCTTTGACTACAGCTCTCCTTAAATCCGTTGTTTGTGATTGGTCTTCTGTAAACGTTGTTTCTTGGTCTAAATGAGTTTCTAGTATCTTTACAATACGACCCAACAGGACCCAAGCAGTGTTTTCTCTGTAAACTCTGAGCGCCGAGTTACACTTTTGAGTCAACAACCAACACGAATGCTGATAGTGCCGACCAGGAAATGCCATCTTGCTGAGAGCGCAACTTTTGCTCGTTTTAAATTTTTTCCGATATTTGATTTGCTGCTCAGAACTACATGTACAGTCATCTATAAATAATAAACAGCGTCTTGGTTCCATCAAAAATTTCTTGAAACGTTTACAGTGTATCCCGTGCTCAGTCTCCGTTTGGATACATTTTCTCTTTGGTGTCCAAAATAAGCCGTGTTTTTGGTCAGCGTCAAGGGCAGCCAGTTGTATTTGAAATTGTGAAAAACATTGGTGTCTCTACAGCTCATGATGGTAGTACTCTGTAGACTGACGTTCAGCCCTTGTACCAAGCTGCGAGCCAGGTTGTTATAAACCACTCTATTGTGATCCAACTTCCCCGTCTACCTGGAGTATAAAAGTGAGTTTGGCCGTGCCGAGAACAACCATGTCGTCCGTGCCTACAGGCGGAAACTTGACTATTAGTTTTTGACCCGCGGCTATGGTGCTCAGGTAGTGAGTAATGATTACTTCGCGCCTTTCTCCTTTGATGGCCCTGGGAACTTTGAGAGGGTGGTTTGGATCGAGCTTCTTCATCATAGTTGTTGTGGTTGCATTTGATTTTTAACAAAGCACAAGTAGGAGGGACTATTGTCAACACTCTGGCATTCACGGGGTCTAATTTTTTGTTTAGCAGCATTTCAAAACAACAGATTGATAAATGCAAGCGACATGATTTGGCCGTGGAAGAACTGGCCCGAGGGAAACAACATTGGGAGCAAAAGCGTACCAGACTTGTATATTTTTTAAACGAGCAAATTCATATGCAAAAGGCTTCAGAGCAAACGTTTGAAATGTGGACGAGGCTTTGATAGCGTATAACAAAATAACCCGCAGCTACAGTGTACTTGCCGTCGAGCCTGCCACCAGAGCCCACATTGAGTGATTTTTACACACCCAGCGATGACCAACGAGATAGAGAACTCCGGTGTGAGAGCAAAACCGAAAAGTCTGATATTGCAAAGCTTGAAGAGGTTTATTACAGCCCTCGAGGTTATTGGAAAGGAGAGGGAGCTGTTAAAAATTTACACGAGAAAACCGGTACAGACAAGAAAACAATAAGAGCCTGGTTAGCGAAACAAGCCATTCGGAAAATTTATCTGCCTGCACCGGGGTATATACCGAGTCCGAGGACTTAACAAAAAGACTTTGCTGAACCCAACGACATGCACCAAATGGACGTGTTGTATTTACCCTGGGGTACGGGTGCCAAAAGGCCCAAGAGGTAGAAACTTATAAATAAGCGTCAACGGTGGTCGACGTTACTTCCAGATACAAAGAAGCAGAACCTTTAACTTCAAAACTGCCAACCAAGTGACAGACGCTATGAAACAAGTTTATGACAGATCTCCTTTGACTGGGCCTTGATCACTTAACGTAGACTCTGGCTTAGAATTTAAAGGCGAGTTTAAAAAGACTTTTATAAACTTTATTTCCCTTCTATAAAACATGCTCCCAAGCCACGAATACAGGAGAAAGTCTGGTCAGAGAACTTTATTTCCCTTCTAAAAAAATCCTCCCAAGCCACGAATACAGGAGAAAGTCTGGTCAGAGAACTTTATTTCCCTTCTAAAAAAACATCCTCCCTAGCCACGAAATACGGAGAAAGTCTTATAGTAGTTTATTTTCTTTCTAAAAAACATTCTCCCAAGCCAGCCACGAATACGGGCAATTCGAACATACATGTAGGCAGTTCTAACGGGTCGTGCTATTTAGCATCAACGAGCGTCAACAGAGCGTCAACAAGTTATTCAAGCACATTTATGCAAATGTTTTATATAAAATGTTGATTAGGGTCCTACTTATCAAATTCAATGTATAATATCTATCTCAAATTATATTTGAGTGTTGAAAGTTGAATGACAAAGTCCGGCCTGTTTGTGCAGTTCGACCAGCTGCCATCTTGTTTTCGGGTGGATGGCAGAGGAAAGATAGATGGAAGTCCTCGTACATCGTGAAAAATTTTCATTTTCCTGCAAGAATTTGGAAGCAAATTCAGTGTTTCTCTTATACAGTAGCAAGTGTTAGAGTCTCTAAAATATAATAAAACCACTTTTAAATTTGTAGAGGGTATTTTCAAGTTGTTGACGCTTTGTTGACGCTATTTGTGTGTGTCGACACTTGTTGATGCCAAATAGCATGACCAGTTCTAAAATGGGTCTTTTGTGGCCTAAAATGATTAGATCATGTAGGTGAAGCCCTGTGCGTATTTTGTGTGAGAGCGGTCAAGAACCACATTGTAGCCCTGTCTGTATTTTGTGCGACATTGTAGCCGGCTACGATGTGGGAGAGGAGGGTAGTGGGGTAATCTGTAACTGTGCCACACGGAGTATGATAGAGAATAGCTCTACTAAGAGGATTGCTGGTATTCCTCTTTTTCGACTTTGGACGGGATCATCATACTAACGCTCCAAGCCTGTACATATTGTGAGGTTGAAACGGTTCTCAAAAATTCTAAAGACTCACCAAAAACACCTCTATCAACACCTACAGGCTTCCATAACTGCCAACGTCAAACGGTTATTGCTACATGTACATGTACAGTCAAACACGAATAACACGAGCACGCTTGAGACGAGCTCGTGCTTAAGATGAGCAGATTTCTTCAGTCCTGTTCAAAATGTACACATTCCTATGAGAGAAAACTTACTTAATACAAGATGAGTACTTTTGCCTAACCAGCAGTGTCAAAAACTATTGTCCATGGCATTTTTAATACGAGTACAATTGAAAAGCGTCTTCAAAAGCTTAATCCCAGCAAGTAATTCTATGAATGGGATAAGTGATAACACATATAACACGAGGTTTACCGTAAGACAAGGTTTTTTGGAGAGTCCCTTCAAGCTCGTATTAAGCGTGTTCGAACGTACATGTACATGTAGTAGTCGCTGCCTATAACTTATAAGCGGGGAGACTAGACCTGCCGCCCTGCCATCATGCCTGTTAATGCTCATCAGCTAGGGGTCTTACTAATTACCGTCAACACACGATAGTAATGTCAACACACCGTCAACTCCTCGAACATACAAGTTTAATGGAGAAAAGAGGCACAGAAGTGTAACTCTCGGACTGACAGAGACTTTCCAGTAGTAAGGGGTCACAAATCAATTTGCGAAATGGAGTTTTTTCACACACACAAAAAAAAGATCTCTAGCAGCGTAGCAGGTCGCCGCCATCTTGTCTGCCCTTGGACTGTCCCATTTTGGTGTGGGCATGGAGGTGATACCACAAACAACAGAGGGCACCAGCAGCTGCAGATGGTTTGTGCATTGCTTGGATCATGTTGTGAGTTAGTATTTTGTAAATTTCAATCTTTTTTATTTGTGACTATGATCACTTCCTATTATGAAATCTCTACGTTTTGTGGATGATCCGACTGACTGTCCTGTGTTTCTTTAACATATAATATTACCACCCCTCTTGCGTAATGGTATGGTCCCAGCTGCCCCAGAGGCAACATGGCTGCTGATTTTGATTTCGGCAAAATTAAATCGGCAATTTTCCAGAGTTTAATCTGTTGATGTTTAGCCGAAATATCCTTTCAAACACTTTTTACTATTGAATTCAGCTTCTTTGTTTTTTAACATGTTTTGGAGGTGCTGACGCTGTGTTGACGGTGTGTTGACGGTCCGTTGCGTGTTGACGGTGTGTTGACAGTATTTAGTAAGACCATAAGCTAGGCCTACACTGAAGGGCGCCCTCAATAATTCAATGGTTCTCATTTCTTTTACCACTTGAGATAAGGTCGGTCGAAAAAAAATTCCTTAAAAAAAATCCATGTTGCTGGAGTATAAATCATGACTGAATAAACCTCAATTTTCCGTGTACAGGGGCCTTTTTGTTCTCTCTGCATTTTTTATATACATAAGTATTAAACAAACATAACTGTATAAAAAAAATCGAAAAAACACGGTTTGTGTGTATACTTGCATGCAAATAGATATACATGTTCTTATTGTTACAAGAAGCCACAAAACATACCGCGCTGGATTGCGGAAGTCTAATGCTGCTGGTCGATACCATGCTGCTCACATTGAAAATTCCCTTGTACGAGTCCGGGTCAAGACAAGTGTAGGGCTATGCACGAACCTCAGTGGGCCACGGAAAGGCGCACGCCAACGCCGACTGTCGCTGTTGGTCCTTTTTCGAAATCGTACGTTTTCAGGGCTTTTGTTTTCAAAGGTCATGCTGGTCAATTCTTTTCCCTTCAGGTTTTTTTTTGGGGGGTTAGGTCTTTTTAGCAGGGTCGGAGGGGAAAAAAAGCTTTTTCTTTCCGTGATCGGGAGCCCAAAATAGGGTCGGTCGGAAATGAGAACCATAGAATATAAAAAGGGTGCCCTAATCATGGTAATCGTGTCCCCAATTTCGTGACCTTACCTTTCGAATACGAGCACATCTTGAAATTTGGATTTTTCATGGAAGAGCACATCCTTGACTTTCAGTGACATACATTGACCAGGCCACAGTGTACTGAACTCACTGAACCAACCTTCGTGCAAGGAATCCATGAGAAAATGACCGATATGGGTAAAAATCACCTGCAACTTGACGGTGTTAATTTGCTGTGCTTGTGCGATGTGTCCACAATCGTGAAAGTTGCTCGCTTATACATATGCCACAAAAGCACATGCATCGCCGGTTCTCATGAGTTTTTCTCCTGAAAGTCAGGGTATTCAACTTAATGCAAGGTACCATTTGCTGCGCTTAGACCATGGGTTATTTAACCCCTAAGCTTTCGATTCATACCACGTGTGCGTGCGGTGCGCGTGCGATCGAGCGTGGACCACGGTAGTCTTGGTTGCCAGACGTTACTGTTTTAATTGGTTCCTGAACCGGCCGCCCCGAGAGGGCGTATATCATCTCTCACACCATGGAGGAAGGAAAGAAATTATTAAGGGTGAAGTGTTCGAATTCAAGCAATGTTCTCCGGCAGGCACAGGTGCATAAAAAGTACGCCTACAGATTCTTTCAAATAAAGGGGTCTGTTTGGGCCAAGAAATTGTGGAATTGTCTCAGACTGGCCCAGGATCATCTCTGTAGATTCAAGGGCACCCATCTGGGGGCAAAGCAGATAAAAACGTGGCTAAAAACTTATCAGAAGAGCCCCGAAGGTGAGGGATGTCATTTGAAAAATGGCCGCTGAGAAGACTGAGGAACCTTCACTTTTGGGGGGGGTGAGTTTGTTTTGGGCGAATTAATAAAAAATTCATTGGTTTACCTACTTAAAATTGATAATCTGAAATCTGAAGGACCAAACAACACATTTTTTGTTTGAGAGGCCTCAGGGACTTCAGTTGCCTGTCATGGGGCTCCAAACTTTGTTGATTTTACACTGTTTTCAATGGAGCTTGAATTGGTTTGGTGCACCCTTTAAGCCCCATTGAAGTTTGGGGCTCACTAACATGCAAGCCAGCATCACTGAGGTTTCTCAAACAAAATTGAAGTATTGTTTTGCCCTTAATCTTTCTATTTCTTTTCATTTTTTGGAGGGTCGGCCAATTACATTTTGAATTATTCACACGAAATGAAATCACCCCCCCCCCTTAAGGTGAAGAATCCAAGCCTGCTCAAACCATTTTTCAAAATATTAACATCCCTCTACTTTCTCAGGAACGTAGGACCATTTTGCAGCTGTATTTTTCACAATTCTGCTATCGCATGGAAGGCCTCAGAGCCGAGGAGTGTGATCGTGACAAATATTTTAATAATATTTTGGGGGGCCAAACAAAGTTTTTTCAAAAGAAACTGTGTGAGGGCACTTTTCGTGCTAATGAGCTGGACAGAAATTGCCACTTGAGTTAGTTCACCCAAAACCAAAAAGCTCTGTACACAAACAATACACGTAGGCATACGAAAATAAGAAATAGTTATTTTCATGTCTGTCCTTTTGCATGATTCCCTTCCGCTACACTAAACGTGCGCGCGCACACAAAGAAAACTTTGACAAAATCCAAGGGCAAGAGCGCCACGTAGTGACGCTCGGGAGAAATCTAGCAAAACATTTTTCACTGGAAATTGAAGAGCACGACCTCCAGTATATGTACAGTTTTCTTTGCCAACGTCAGTTTTTCCAGCCCTTCTCCGAAACAAATCCACAAATGCTTGCAAATGATACCGGACCGTGGGCTGCACTGGCCTAGTCTGGTCAGAAGCAAAGATCCTTTGCGGCGCTATACGATCTTTGGTCGGAAGGTAGCCTGCGATGCCAGCCAAATGCAGCGGGTCTTTTTGTGAACGAAATCCCGCGAGTTTGGAACTGCGAGTCCCAAATCCTTGATCTCCATATGTTCCTCTAATTAGTGCCAATTTTTACCAACTCTCAATCCATATTATTTGTGGGATCACAAAATCCTACTCGATCTCACCGCAGGAATTGGCCAATTTAGCGGAAATTCTGGAATGCACTTGCTAGGACCGCGATTGTTGTTTTTTTTTTTTTTTTTTTACAAATCGTTTTTGAGAAAACCAGCTCTTGAATAAAGCCTACCATATTGAAAAAGCTCGCTATTTACTAGCTTGATATGTGGTCGTTCAAAATGTATATAAACAAGTAAACGGTGAAAGTGAAGGCTAGGGGAGCGGGTTAGCGTTGCGGTTCTTTCCTCGCTTTGCACCAATGAGGCCCGGGTTCGAGTCCCGGCTTGGCCCAGGCTTTTGAAGTGCATTTGGTTTCCAGTCCATACTCGCTCTCGCAGGTTTTCTCCGGGTACTCCGGTTTCCTCCTGCCTCTAAAACTGGACCTTCTTCCTAACTCCGTAATGTGATGCTGATTAATAAAGTAATAAAGTGTATGAATAAACGTACAGGTATTGGCGTAAATAGCCCAAGTTGCTGAAAGCGTCATCAAATCAAAACAAGAAGTGGACGCTAGCTTCAAAAACTATTGCTCTTCCTCCGGTGATTTCCCACGAGACGAAAGTAAGACCGTCGATTCCTATGCCCCTTTTTCAACGGTTGCCTTCAGGGAGACCAAAGAACCATCTGGAGGTATAGAGAAAACATTAATTAGGGCAAGGATTACTGATAAAATGTTCCGCAAAGACAAACTCAGCCGCAGAGACCAACTTTAGATTAATCTACGATTTATTTCCGATTCAGCCTATAAAAAAGGAAACTTTAACCCGTTATAGAGTAAAGAATAAGTCACACCACTTTTACAGATGAATAGTGCGTACATAACAAAATTGTGCAACCAAAAACATGTTTCCTACAGATTATCGGTACATAAAAAGTTAAGTCTACCTATTTTTGAATTGAAAGACACCGCCACAAAAATGGAAAGTCTACCTATCCAGACACATCGATCTTGGCATCGCATCATCACACCTTCAGATGCCACCCTCTTGTCCTAAGTATTAAAAAAATCCATTCACGATGGATGCAATAGACGAAACGACTCATTTGAAAGTGAATAACTCTACATTGGGCCCAATATCTATAAATAATGAAAGGTAAGGCCAACAGAAATAATAC